ACATTAAAAAGGCTTCGAGAGTGATAAGTGGTGCGATCACTTCAACAGTAAAAGACGTTGCCTTGGCGCTCGCTAGGGGCCTTATGCCAAATCCGTCGTCCAAAGTGTTAGGGGCCGGCCTAACCAACCAACTCGCTCGCACGCAGCCCTGGCAACTTGCTCCCACGCCACGCGATTGGTCCCCCTACATGCAGTGCACCTGACGACGCCCAAGCAGCCGCCACGATCAGGCCGCTATCCGGTCAGTCAAATGATGCAAAGGCCATTTGAGTTGCTACCTACTTGAGGACATTATCTGATTGGTCCGATTGCAGGCCTATGTTGTACATGCTCGCACATGCTTTGCTTGCCTTTATAAAGCACGTTGTTAGCATACGGCAATAGACTTCCATTCTTGCGCCCTTGTTGTTATGTCCTCCTTTGGGGATTCGACCGAGGCGTTGTTGGACGGCGAACATCGTGGCTTGTGGCAAGATTATAATCAGTCCGTATGGTCCTCAATAATCAGTCCCGAGGGACAACCACTCGCATGGCTCTATGCAGTCCAACTCTAGGGACTGAGTAAGCTAAGTGTTCAAGCAAAAACATCGATAAAGCGGATACTGAGCTAAATGGGCAAAGCATAACACTAGATAGGAACACGCGAGATTAGGTGACTCCGCCCAGAAATACCAGACTCAAATTCTGACCAGAACAAGATGGCCATAGCTGTCTGGATGTTGCCAACCTGAAATTAATTGACATGGTATCGTATCGGAGTCATTGAGAATCCCCTATTGCAGCCATCTGCGATCTGATATCTCAGGCGGAAACTACCTGTGCGTAGCAGCGAATAGGGTTATGCCCAGTGCAACTTTAAGTAATTCGGATATATTAAAAGCACTGGCATTTACCAAGTCTGGCCACATTAAATGCTGTCGGGTCGATACTTAAAAAGATAATTGGAATCTTTTCATGTGCGCAAGTGACAAACCTGAAGGGCTGAGTTGATATAGCAGGTGTTGCCGAGATTGACGATACCCGTCAGCCCTGGACCATAGAGGGGCTGAAGGGTCTTGTCTGACTCCTGTAGAGTCAACCACTCGCCGAGGCGTTCATTGGCGGCAATCTCCAGCTCAGTCATGGTCTTATCGGTCTTCTCCATCAAACGAGTGTTGATGCCGAAGTGCGCTAGGTGTTGTGCCAGTAAGGGATCTGTGACCATTTCATCCTCAGCATAGGAATAGACTTCGGCCGTCTAGAAAAAAAAGGAGAATGGTTAAAACTGGCGCTGTGAACAGTGGTCACACCAAAACAATTCATGTCACCACGGGGTAGTTTGGGTGGCAAATCTGAAGGGTTTTTTCCTAAATATGCTGGTATTTCTCAGGCATCAGAACGACTATAGGCATTCACGCCATTGGTTATGGAAGACTGTGCAGAAAGCCTGCCCGACTGACTGCTTACTGAAGGAAACTCGTCCAATAAAACGGGGGTCACGAGGAAACATTTCGAGCAGATAGGCTGGTTTGCTGGACGAATAGACTTCCCTCCAAAACGTGGTTTAGCAAGCAGGATTTCATCGAAAGCTTATGCGCATGACCGTTTTTAAACACTACAGCTACAGAAATTCAAAGCATTTTTCCCCTGGGGGAAATTTGAAGTTTGCATAAACGCTAGAATTTAAGGGACCTATAAATTTTGAGAGTTCTCATTAGCTTGCCCCTTAAGAGTGACAACATGAAAAATACTATCAAGAGACGCCTACTTAAAACCCATCGAAAGGACATACCTTGCTGCCGAACTCATAATCTGCAGTCCAACAAAGCCCCTACCAATTCCGTGTGCGAAGGATGCCTTGCAATGCACGCTACTTCAATTTGTGTTTACGAATTTACATGCACTTGCGGACGCAAGTTCATAGGGCGAACGCAACGGTGATTGGCAGCTGCAGCTAAAGAGCACTTGCCTAGTTGGCTATTGAAACAGGAAAACAGAACT